GGAGTATTAGTTTTAAAATTTCATTACTAACTTTAACATAAACAGGACTAGCATTATGTTACTCCCAAAATAAGATTCATTGACTCCTATTTTGATAACAACAAGAAGAGTTGTGGCACGAGGATTGAGAGCTGGTCCTAGGGAAAACCTAGGTCGCGAGCTCTTGGATGATCTGATCTCCTAGCATTTTCCTCTCCGATTGGCAAGAGTTTTCGTCCATGGCGATGTTCTATGGGCAGTAACCAGTCAAAAGTTTTCTCATGCTTCCCCTCTTTTTTGTCTTCTTCTATCTTCTAGGGTTCTGGTTTTGGCCCGACTTATTCTTTGTCCGAAAGTTTTGTCCATTTTAGGTGAACGTGAGATATGGTCTCCTAAAAATGTCTATATGATGTGTGCTCGTCGTCGGTGCAACCGATCGAGTGGTGATTTTTCATTGGTCATGATTGACAAGACTTGTTCAACCTAGTTATTAAGAGTCTCCAATTTCTCGACATCCTCATGATCTACCACCTCACTTTGAGAGAAAATTAGCGCTCATTTTGATTCTCCTTTTGAGTGGCCGGTCAAATCGATGATCCAACCAAGTTCTGATGGCTGAGTTCCTTTTATTGGTTGTTGGTGAAATCAATTCACCCTTTTCAATGGCTGGTGAAGTCGAATCCTTTATTTACAGTTTTTTTTTTATTTTTCATTTGGAGCAGCAAGTGCAACGGGACTGTTACACAAGACTACATTATTGCGGAGTTATTTTTATCGGATAAATATCTTTTAATAATCATTATAATTGAGTTTTAAGTTAATTTTATGATTTAATTGTCTCTATTTACTATAGATGATCATTGCAATTATTTTTAATAAGATTACTTATTTATTTATTATTCAAAAATATTTTAAATATATTTTTTTTGCAAATCATTAAATTAGCGATGTCACATGATTCTGTTAGAATTTCATTAATTTCAATAAATTCAAGAGTGAATTACCTAAATAGGACAAAAAAGTTGCCTAAGAGCACAAATAGGACTACATCTTTTAAATTCCTCCAAGGTAGGACTATTTATGTGTGCAGGGGCGTAGCCAGGACCGATGTTTACCATGGGCCAACTATACACTAAAAACATTATATAAAAATTTTAAAAGCGACAATAGTGTGAACATAATGATTAAAATCCATTAAAATTCATAGTAATATGTTTTAAACAATACATACAATGTTTGAAACTAAAATGTTAACTGAACACGCGACGCTCTTTGAACTTAGCAAACTCATCTATGACAGACTCAACGTCGTTTTTGTTGGCGAATTCCTTTTAAATAAAGATGGTCAAACGAACGGCAAGAAGTTCATATTTCATCTTGTTGCGAATTTCATTTTTCACGTGTTTCATTGCAGAAAATCATTTTTCCGTTGTTGCGGTCAAAACGGGTAAAGTCAATACAAGATGAATTTCATTCTTACGAAGTATTTAACTCGTGTCTACTTTGTGTGCATGTACTAGGCTTATAAAACGAACGCAACGTGATTTTTGCCTTTTTGGAAGTAGATTGAGTAGTCATACCTACTAAAATTACCAAAAAAATAAAATACTAATCAATACTTTATTTTAATTCATATAATTCATATTAATATTTGCAAAAATTCACAAATAGCATTTCACAATCCTAATTTTCTATTTCACAATTCAAAGCACACAATTACACAAATCAATTGTGACACACTAATCACTAACACAAACAAATATAACAAATAAAATACCTAATTAATCTAAAAACTGTAAAAACAAATCGAGTTAATGAATCAAAGAGGGCTAATAGCAAAGTTAATTGCACAATTAGGACCACACCCGAAACACAACTTTCATAGGACCAATTTCAATACTGTTGGGCAAAAATACCCCTATTTTATTTTTTAAATTATAAAACTGTAAAATAAAAAATTATTGAAACCCTAGCAGTAGCACTACCGCCACAAGAGCCAAACCGCCTGCCGCCACCCCTCACCGACGCGACCTGGCGCCCCCTGTCTTCGCCCTCGCCTTCTACCGTTTGACACGACATCCTTGCCGACGCACCATCGCCATCCATCGTCGTCCCTTCCCGCCTCCCGCACCAGCGTCACCATCCACCCAAACCACCATCCTCTGAGCACTGCCACAACAGATACAACTCAAGCGGAATATAATTTAACATTGGAGAATAGATTCACTTCTGCCATGAACAAATGTTTCAGATCTGCCAAAAAAGTTGGCAGATTCAACTTGGCACAGTAACACAGAAATGCCATAAATTTGGCAAAAAAATACATGAAGTAAATAACCAAATATTCAAACAACTAAATTTTTTATTGGAACAAGCATATTAACACAATCATAAATTAGAAAAACGAAGCTATTGACAAAAAACAGAAAAACCAGTTTATACAAAAGCATTTCTTCCATAATATGATTGTAAATGTACACATTTTTGCCATAAACTTTGCCAAATCTGAAGCAATCATCCAAAAATTTATGAAAATCGATTTTTTTTAAAACTCTGAAATTAAAAACCAGAACATTGAAATAGAAGTTTGAAAAACCAGAACATCGAAATTTGGCAAAACAGAAGTCCAAAAATTGGAAAATTCAATTCAAAATCCAGAAAAACAGAGGAAAATCGAAGAAGAAGAAGAAGAAGAAGAAGAAGAAGAAGAAGAAGAAGAAGAAGAAGAAGAAGAAGAAGAAGAAGAGGAAGAGGAAGAGGAAGAGGAAGAGGAAGAGGAAGAGGAAGAGGAAGAGGAAGAGGAAGAAGAAGAAGAAGAAGAAGAAGAGAAAAAGAAGGAGGAGAAGAACCTTAATGGCAGTGGCGAAATCGGCGGCGTGAGAGGAACTCGATCGATCTGGTGCGCAGGGTGAAGTCGACGGCGGCGGCGATGGCCTGGGTGAAGCCGATCGATGATGCGCAAGGAAGAAAGAGAAGACGTGCGCAGGGGAGAAGGGGAAACTGTTGTGCGCAAGGGAGATGTGCGTAAAGGGATAAGGGGGTAATAATGGAATGAAATATACGGATGTTTTAAAATAAGAGTAAATCAATCCTATTTGGGGAAAAAACATACATAGTCCTATTTGAGAATTTGTCTTCTCTTTTAGTTGTATATGGGGCAATTACTTAAACCAACAATAAAGAAACCCTTACCTAGAAGAATTGTGGGTTTGTTTGAAGGCTGAAGCTGTGAAGCAGCGACCTTGAAAAGAGGAAAAGCAGAAGCTGCCGGATTCTGGAGATTGGAGTCCAAGAGAGAAGAAGACAGTCCGCCGAGCGGGCGAGTCACCGTGCAGGCGGTGCAGCCTAGCAGCTTAGGGTGCGTCGTGTGTGAGTACGTCTCCGGCTAGTCGGTGAGCAGAAGGCGAGTTTGCGTGAATGTTGCGGGAGTGTTGGCTGAGGCGCTTGTTTGTTGTTAGCGTGAAAGATGGCCGCCCCTCCTTTGTTTGGATTGCTTAGGAGCTGGACTGTTTTTTTATTGGGCCATAAATATTTACCCTAGGTGAGTATTAATTTTACACTGGGTCAATTCTTTAAAAACAAATTTAAATTATATACTCCCTCTGTCCCTTAAAACTCTGCCATCTTTCATTTTTGAAACGTCCCAAAAAACTTTGCCACTTTCCCTTTTAATCAATTATTTTGCGATTTCTGTTATTTCTCTCTCCTCTGCACAAATCTCAACCATACATTTTTTACTTTATTATTCTACGGCTAGTCGACAAGCAGAAGGCGAGTTTGCGTGAATGTTGCGGGAGTGTTGGCTGAGGCACTGGTTTGTTCGTGAAAGATGCCCGCCCCTCCTTTGTTTGGATTGCTTAGGAGCTGGACTGTTTTTTTATTGGGTCATAAATATTTACCTTGGGCGAGTATTAATTTTACACCGGGCCAATTCTTTAAAAACAAATTTAAATTATATACTCCCTCCGTCCCTTAAAACTTTGCCATCTTTTTTTTTGGGACGTCCCAAAAAACTTTACCACTTTCCCTTTTAATCAATTATTTTGTGGTTTCTGCTATTTCTCTCTTCTCTGCACAAATCTCAACCATACAATTTTTACTTTATTATTTTCCGTGCCGGTCAACTTTGGCAAAGTTTTAAGGGACGGAGGTAGTATATAATAAAAAAATTGCCATGGGCCATGGCCCAACCAGGCCACCCCCTCCCTCCGCCCATGTATGTGTGTTTGATAAATATACCCTCGTAGCTTTTGAAATGTCTTAATTAATAATAAAATCATACAAAAACAATTAAAATCATTAAAAAAATGTAAAAAATAGTAAAAAATTTATAAACTATGTATAAAATAAATCTTTAAAAAAATAAAAATTTAAAAAAAATAAAGAATTAAAAAAACACTGCTGCCTCTGCCACCCCAGCACCACCACATCCCCTCATTGGTTGGAAATCTTCCATCATTTTTAGTAATGTCATAATAATGGCAAATTCAATAATGAAAATGTTGATATTATGAAGAGTAATAATACAATTTTCTTGACATTTTAAAAAAAATGGCATTTTTTACAAAAAATGGAAGCATTTTCATTGATTGGAGGTGGTGGTGCTGGGAGGCGGTGGGAATGTATCCATAATTTTTTGTATTTTTTATGGGGTTTTACTATTTATTTATTTATTTATTATTTTTTTAAAAAATCAAAAGAAAAATTGCTTTTTAAATTTTTTATTTTATAAATAATTTATTAATTTTTATGTTTTTCAAGGTTTTTTTATTATTTTTTATGATTTTTAATTATTTTTTATGATTTCATTATGAATTATTACCTAGAGGGAATAAAAAAGTAGTAGTAATATTTGTGCTTTTTAGGTAAATATATTAATGCTATTAAGAGCAATTTCTATAAATTCAATCCATTTAATCGATGTGATCTACTAAAAAATTAAAATCTTTCAAATTAAATGATACCCGTAGTATGAGTTATTGGCCCAAAGTGTTTGATCCGGTCCAATTCAAAATTCACATGCCCAAGATCTGGAATAACCTGACCCGACTTCCCCTTGAATATACCCGTTTCTCTTCAGTGTACCAATTCATCCGATCTGCCATCTCTCTCTCTACCCAGCCAGACGGTCGCACGCTATATTACTCTCTTCGTTTCCGATCTCCCTTCCTCTTAGGTCGGGCGCAGTCTACACCACGCCCTTCGTCTAATATGTTGAGGTTGGTCGATTATTACGAACTGTTTTCTTATTTTATCGTACTCCGTATCTTGTTTTGTTTGTCCTTACATATCTTTTTATATCTTAGCAGCAGTGAATAGATCGAGCTCATAGGGTGTTGTCAAGGTTCGTTCTTTATCCGTTCTTTCATTTTCCGATTTGTGTTTTTGTATACACTGTATGAACATTAAGCGTTTTTACACACATTTTCTTCATTTCCCAAATGTTTATTAAGTTGTAAAATCATTGCTTCGCTCCACCTTTCTTGTTGTTCAATTTTTGTATCTGATAATTGTGGTAGTGGTTATTAGCATAATTGCCCATGATTATTAATGGTTTCATTTCATTTTCATTTACCCCGGTGCCCCAAAGGCTCCCACCTACGGTGGGGTAAGGGGTCAGATGTACGCAGTCTTGCCTCCGCACTAAAGCACAGAGAGACTGTTTCCGGATGACCCATAGTGAAAATCACGTCCAAAATTGGATGGACTGACTGCTTCTTCATAACAAAGAAGCGTAGACAGTTTAGTGAACCATTTTGCTTTATTCCATCATAATCTCAAGCCAAAAAATAATGAATCTTTGGCTCCATTTCAAATGATGGAAAAATGATTATTAATGGTTACATTTTTAAAAACATTTTATGGACAAAGCTATCATTCTTCCGTTTACATTTCATCTTTAAAACTCCATAGATATCTAAGTTTACATCACATCTTGATAAATGGGGATTGCATCTGCTTTGTTTGTTGTTTTTCTCTACAATAGCTAATCCTTTTTTTATTTGATTCAGACTGTTATTTGTCTGTTATTTGTCTTATAAGGTTGGGATTTATAGTGGTATGTATATTATATAACATGGGAGTTTTGTTGTTTAAAAATTATTTCACTTTGCTTTTCAATTCAAAGTATTTCTTTTTATGACCGATTTCAGGATACAGACACATGTATCCTGAATTTGGGGTTTTATTCTTCAAGAAAAATTTAAGCATGTACTTGTGAATATGTGTGTGTGTATATGTACATATTTGAAAGCTATATATCTAATCCCTATAACAGCTATACACACAGACATATACGCACCCACATACACAAACATATGCTTGATTTGTATTTCATTACCTGTATAAAGGTTCTGCATTGTTGTTGTTGTTGTATAAAGGTTCTGCATTCAAAGGCATGTTTCTAATATAAATGTATTTGATTGGATTCATCCACCTATATTAATGATTGTGTTCATCTACCTCATTCGATATTCATGTATTTGATTCATTACTTGAGCAACAACATTTGATTATACCTCAACTGCATGTCTGCATCTTATCCTAAGTGTTTTTATATATATAAAGAAATCTAGACATGATTTCTGTATATTATCTATTATACTTTGAATTAAGAAATCTGCTTTTTTCTTCCGTTTTCGTTAACTGTTGCTTAGGGAAAGATAAATTTATTCATACATGCTGGACTGTGTTTGTCCTATTTCTTCAGTCAGTTTTTATTGGGGGATTGGCCAACCAAATTGAGATGACAACACATGCCCCCATTTGTCAGCATGTCAGCATTTTTTAATTTAGTGGATAAATGAAGGGTGCACAGTCAGTCCTCCCACATTGAGGTACTTGGAAGTTGGAACTATTTGCTAAATTTATAAAACAACAACAACATCCAAGCCTTAGTCCCAAAAGATATTGGGGTCGGCTAACATGAATCGATACATGATATCACAACCAAAAGGAAAAGAAGGAATAAAGATACAAAGATAAGCTATTATGAAAAGATAATATACAAAAAAGATGAATATATATATAAATGATAAAATAAAAAGGCTGCCAATAATGCTTATATATATAAGGATAAAAAAACTAGGAAAAAAAAAAGATGAGGGAAAAAGATTATCAAGATCACTCCTTCACGTGAATACCCGCTAAATTTATAAAACAAAAACAAAAAAAAACTTTAGTTAAATCCGATGCCTTACTGTAGATCAAAGTAAGTGTGGATGTGATGGTGTTATTTCCCTTTTGACTCATGTTTTCCCCCGGTTAGATTTAATTTTTTGCCTGGGTAGCTGGTTATTGCGTCCGCTAGAGACCACATTTACTCATAGTTGGTCATGGAGGTTATATACTTATATGCATCACCTAGTTATTTCGATGATATGATGAATTGATCATCTTTTTATTCACCAGAGTATAAGGGCTATCATCCTATCAATAAAATTGTGCAGTTTCATTTTTTTTTATGCAAATACAGTTTTAAGGAGAAACCTAGAACAATAGTAGCAACAAGGAAAGATGGTTGCACAGAAGATCGAAACTGGTCACAATGACATAGTTCACGATGTGTCCATGGATTACTATGGGAAACGGTTGGCGACAGCTTCATCGGATGGCACGATCAAAATAATTGGTGTGAGCAACAACTCCACCTCACAACACCTTGCCACCCTGACTGGTCACCACGGTCCAGTTTGGCAGGTTTCATGGGCCCACCCCAAATTTGGGTCCCACCTTGCTTCTTGCTCCTATGACGGTAAAGTCATCATATGGAAGGAAGGCAATCAGAACGAGTGGATGCAGGCTCACCTTTTCAGCGACCACAAGTCCTCAGTTAATTCCATTTCATGGGCCCCTCATGAACTTGGGCTTTGTTTGGCCTGCGGATCCTCTGATGGAAACATATCGGTTTACACGGCCAGATCGCATGGAGGATGGGATGCCACAAGAATAGACCAGGCCCACCCTGTCGGGGTTACTGCAGTCTCTTGGGCTCCTTCTATGGCCCCGGGTGCTTTGGTTGGGTCTGGAGCGCTCGATCCCGTCCAGAAGCTCGCATCCGGCGGGTGTGATAACACTGTGAAGGTTTGGAAGCTATATAATGGTGTTTGGAAGATGGATTGCTTCCCTGCCCTTAAGATGCACGATAACTGGGTGAGGGACGTTGCGTGGGCCCCCAATTTGGGACTTCCAAAATCAACGATCGCAAGTGCTTCAGAGGATGGTAAGGTTGTGATATGGACCGTGGGCAAAGAAGGAGATAAGTGGGAGGGTAAGGTGTTGAATGATTTTAAGAATCCTGTTTGGAGGGTGTCTTGGTCTTTGACAGGGAACCTGCTGGCTGTTGCATCTGGTGATAACAGTGTCACATTATGGAATGAAGCAGTCGATGGGGAGTGGCAAAGGGTCACAACAGATGACCAGTAAGGCTTTTACGGTTGGTTGTTTGGTTGGTCTATGTCTCTTTTAATAGATTTTTCACTGGATTTGAGTTGGAGTACTCTCTTTTTTTGTTTATTGGTTAAAAGTTGTCCTTTATTTTTTTTGTTAATGTTGGGACTAGGGATGCCTGTTTCTACTCACTACAGGGGTTGAAGAAATATGGATGTATTCATACTCATTGCCTTGGTTATACTACGTATAAAATCTTATATGACTCAAATTCAGGGTGTTTTGTAATTGTTTGCTCTTGGCTTGTGCTTAATTACAACATGCACACTCACAAACAATGAAGTTTGCAAATTACCCATCATATATTAAAACACTATCGTAGTTGATATTTGGTTTTTTAGAATGGTGATAAGCTCAATTTGGCATATCTTACAGACATGCATCCTGGGTAGTAGTAAAGTGTCCGATCAGCAGCCCAGGGGGGTAAATATGGGTGATCACGATTCTCATGTGTATTCATTTCAGTCCCTGAACAGAACTATGGGATAACTGCATCACGGATTTGGTTATCATGCCGTTAGTCTTTGGAGGTTTTGTTGCCCTAAGATAGTTGTTGGGATTGGAACTTGCTGGATAATGGATATATACTGATACACTTTTGTGGGCATATTTGCATTTAAAGTTTTTAGGAAAACTGTCGATATTATAGCCATAATCTCGATTAAGCTCTGGTACTTTAAAAACACCCAATTGAATCATCGTACTCCTAAAAAACGCACAATTAAGCCGTTTAGAGGGTTGACAGTCAGTCTCCCAGTTGCTTGCTTATGTGGTGATCGGTGTGGCTTTTATGCCCCCCTTTCTGTTTCTTTTTCTCTTTCTTTTCTTTGCATATATGGTCAACCTTTCTCGTTCTTCGGGGGCAGACTTTGAGGGTTCCAGGCTTGTTGTCTCACCCCTTGGCCAGCGTCGCTAACTCCTTCGGGTTGGACATTGTCTATTCATCTCGCTCTGATCACTCTTCGTCATCTCGCCTTTGTCTCGTAACTGGTTGGCTAACTTGGCTTGCTGCTGGTTGCCTCTTCTCCTTTGTCCCGGCCCGTGGAGCTGCAGAAAATAGAAATCCAACGGGGAAGAGAAACAAACAAACAAATAATGGAATACAAAACAACATAAAAAGAAAGAGATGTATGCGAAGCGGAAGAAGGAAACTCTAGATCTAATTTTTAACTCTTAGATCGACCAAATAAAATTTCAAATCAGTTTTCAACTTGAACAAATGGAGTTATGAAAGAGAGATGGAAAAAGAGGAAGGTGGTATGTGGTAGTGATGACTGACGAGAAGGGAAGTGCCCTCGGTAGTCCGTACAAGAAAGAAGAAAGGAAAATTTTAAAAGAAAGAAAAAAGAGTGAAAGAAATAAGAAAAAAATAAAGAACTTTCCACATGGGCCGTCACACGAGCAATTTATCCGGAAACCGGTTGTTAACTTGCGAAATGGCTCAATTGAGCATTTTTTAGGAGTACCGAGATTCAATTGAGTGTTTTTAAAATACGAGGGCCTGATCCACTTTCAGGCATAGTACAAGGCTTATTTGACAGTTTTCTCAAGTTTTTTTTATCTAACAATTAATAATTTTGAATTATCATTCTGATATTAAGCTTACATATCCATTTGTTTACACTATTGATCAAGGCCTGGGCCCTTAGTAGATAGCTTCATATAAATAGCCTTTAAACAGCCTATTATTGTAATTGGGTCTTCCAGGCTCAAATCTGAGAACCCGACTCAAATTCCCTCTATAAATACCCCCTTGGGAGTAGATGTGGGAGTGAAAAACATTGAATGCAAAGATATATCTCTCTCTAGCTCAATCTTCTCTCTATAATTGTACTTTATCAATTTTATTTAAATAAACTTTTGTGTGTGTGCAAATGGTTGCTTGTGGTATACTTGATGTGATTCTGATGCCTATTTCACTACAAAAAAGCAACTCGGAATATATTGATGGAATGCTTATGTCGTGTTCTTCATCAAGTCTAGTTTATCCATAAAACATTCAGCTAAAAACTCAATCGGGAAGGTTGTCAAATAATTTTTGGAAGTTAACTGCGTTTTATATGTATTTTCCAGCGCAGTTAACTTCCAAAACTTATTTGACAGCCTTCCCAGTTGAATTTTGTGTGTGGATAAACTATATTTGAAGAAGAACATGCCATATATATTATATATATATATATATATATATATAGAGAGAGAGAGAGAGAGAGTAGCGATCCTGTCAGGTGGTCTGAAAGGATTCGTAGTCCACCCTAGGCCATGAGATGTCCTTCCCGGTGGGAGGGGTATATATATACTCCAGGGGGTCTGGGGGGAGGGGTCCTGGGGGGAGGCCTGGAGTAATCAGGGCTGAAAATCACTCTATTGAGATTCAAGCCCTTGTGTGCCTAGCGGGTTTCGAACTCGAGACCTCCCACTAGGCATAGTAACATCACAATCAGCTGGGCTGTAATGCTTGATTTATATTTATATATATATATATATGATGGAGTATATGGGTCTGAGCCCCCGGACCCACATACTCGGAAGAACAGAAAGCACAAGGCACAGAGTGGCGCCCTCGTCGGCCAGGACGCCCCCGTCGGCCGAAAAGGGGCCAACTCGGATTATGGTCCTGAGTCCAAGGAACCCGGGTGCCCTCGTCGGCCGTGCCCTCGTCGGCCGTGCCCTCGTCGGCCACGCCCTCGTCGGCCACGAAGACCTCACAGAATCGGATTTTATACTTACTCATTTGTACAGCCCATTAGTGGCTTTGTATTCGGCCCAGTAGCGGTCCAGTTGTAAATGGGCCTCCCGAGCCCAAGGCTTGGGAGCCCAACCCTAATTTTCTCTATAAATACTCCCCTTGGGAGTAGTTATAGGGGTTACCAAATCATTCTATTGAAGCATATTATTGCACTTCTCTCTCTAGCTCTCACTTCTCTCTAGATATACTCTATCATTTGGTGCTCTCGTTGAGAGCTAGAACAATCAAGTTAGCACCCTTCGTCGCTACCAAGCACAGCTAACCACTGACCATGGGGAGAACTAAGTCAAACCGCAACCTCGTCAGCAAAGCCATCCCTGAGGACCAAGAGCCCAGGGAGCACGATGAGGACGCCACGGCCGACCAGGCCGGCGGAGGGGACCTCTTCCAGGAGGCCTTCAACCTCACGACGGACCTCCGCAACCAACTCAACGGCGGAGTCCCCGACGCCCGCCTCGGCCTGGAAAAGAAACGAGCTGAGAAAGCGGACCACGCCCCGGCCCAGCCTATGGCCGCGACCTCTCCGTCCGTAGATCCACAGGTCCAGGCCGCGCTGTCGGCCATCATCGCCAGCCTAGCTCAGAACCCCACTGTCCTCAGCGCACTCTTGCCGAGGACCGGGGGGAACGTCACTCAACCTCCTCAGCACCAACCGTTGGCCGTCCACATAGGCAACGATGAGGGGGTGGTGCCCCAGGACACGGCGTCGTCCCACTCCCACCCTGCTTCCCCTCTTCGGCCCGGGCAGACCCCAGCGCGTGGAAAAGCCTCTGCCTTCAATAGGCTAGGTGACACGCGCCGTCGTCCGGTTTCGGAGAGGATGGCGGGACGGATTGGTGATCCTCGTCCTGGCTCGCCAAGGGAAAGCTTGGGGTCTGTGTCCCGGACAGCGGACCAGCCCCGCCCGGATAAGGGCAAGGAGAAGTTGCACAAGGATGACGTGCGTCACCAGATCAACGCGGCTCACAACGAGCGCCTGAGGAACCAGCCGGGCGCCGCTGCGGCCGACGGGGACCCCCGGGACGAGGTCATCGCCCAGCTGGAAAGGAGGCTGGCTCAGATGGAGGCCAAGCAGTCGGCCAACATCCCTACGGCCGGCGCCTCCAACGACCCCGGCCTCAACGCGCTCATGAACAAAGTTAGCGCCCTGAAGAGGGAGCTGGCCGAAGGGCGGGGTGACCCCATCATCCAGGTCACGACTAGGACCCCTTTCACCAACAGGGTCCTCTCGGCCCCCATCCCTGAGAAGTACAAGGGGGACGCCATCAAGTCCTACGATGGCCGGTCAGACCCCCAGGAGCACTTCAGCCGTTACCAGAACAACATGCTGATGGTGAACGCGTCCGACGAATACCTCTGCCGTTGGTTCCTCTCTACTCTCGAGGGGCCGGCGTACGAGTGGTTCAACGGGCTCCCAGAAGGAAGCATCGACTCATGGCATGATCTCGCCCAGCGCTTCCTCACTCACTTTGCCGGGAGGAAGCGCGCAAAGAAGTATTTCACCCACCTCCTCTCCATCAAGCAGCAGCACGAGGAGTCCCTCCGGTCATTCATCGATCGGTGGACGAGGGAGACCGAGGAGGTCGAGGGGGCCGATGAGCGCACCCTCCTTGCCTTGTACCAGGGAGCCCTCCGCAGCTCCCCGTACGCTAGGAGCCTCATCACCGACCCCCCGAGGTCGTACGCCAAGGCGCTCCAGCGCGGAGGCTTGTACGCCGACGCCGACGAGCTCCACAATCACAAGAGAGAGGGGGGCCATCCCCCCAAGAAGACAAATCCTTTGCCGGCCCCGGGTCCGTCCCCGGCCGGCCAGGGTGCCCAGGGCCGTCACGGCTCTGGTGGACAGAGTAAGAAAGACCGCCACTGGCGGCCGAGGCTGGAACGGCCGGGGGTAACCCTCACCCACCCGGTCGGCACCATCCTCGATTATGCCGAGAAGCACGGCCTCATCGAGCAGGCTCCTCGGCCGGCCGAGGAGATCCTTGCCATCCAGCAGGGCGGCACGTACTGCCGGTTCCACAAAAACTCGTCGCACAACACCGACGATTGCATCACACTGAAAAAGGCCATCGAGCGCCTTATTCGCCAGGGGGAACTCTCCCAGTTTGTCAAAGGTGGCCCACGCAAGAACACTTGGGTAAACACTGGCAAACATGGGGGCGAACCCTCTGCGAAGAAGCGGGAGATTGGTAGGCTCAGCGACGACGAGGACTTCGAAGAGCCTCCACCGAAGAAGAATCACATCCACCTCATCGTAGGCGGGAACACTGGGGGGGACTCCGCCACTCAGAGAAAGAAATGGGCCCAATCCCTTTACATTGGGGAGGTATCCCACGTTCCCCCCAACCAAAGAAGCAGCGAACGGAGGCGATCACCTTCACCGACAAGGATCTGCCTCCGGGTACGGAATCACACAGGGACACCCTCGTCATCCGATGTGAGATCGGTGACTCCATCATCCACCATACTTACATCGATACGGGGAGCTCCGTCAATGTGAAGTACTTGGACACCTTCAAGCAGCTGAAGCTGGACAGAGCTCTGCTGAAGCCGATCAAGACCCCGT